AAGAAGGGGGGGGGGGGGGGGGGGGGGGCAGTAGCTTAAAAAAGAGGTTGATGAAGATTATAATATAGGTGTGCCTAGAATTATTTAAGTGCTTGGCACTTAATTATCACCTTCAGTATCCCATTACTCTCATCAAAACATTGAGTGTTATGCAGTATCACCTGATGAAAAGTTTGGGAACTGACCAACAGCCTCAAAATAGTTCCCATTAGGAAATCATTGCGGAATAGGGGTGTTACTGGAGAAGTTAGTGGCACTTGGTCTCAAAATAATGTTTTTATTCAGTGTGTAAAATACTCGGATCATAGCTATAGAAGGTGGAAAGTAGTAAGTAGCCCTAAATCCTGTGCAGCCCTGGTGGACAAGCAATTCAGCATGAGCTCCCAATGTGAAACAGTGGCATAAGAAACTTGCCCTTGGAAATAGAATATAAAAGAGCAGAAATAAGAAGTTGAGTTAATATTCCCAGGTCTGTGGTAAGGATCCTGGGAAAATACACCATTTGAGTCACTACCTTTTAAAAGTTCAGATTGTAACCTGGGAGACATAGAAAAAACGTTACAACCCCAGAGTAAATACATTTGCACTAACAGATATAAAGAAGAGTTGTTTTCTCAGAAAGACTACTCAGAAGTGCCTCAATTTGTGTGCGATAACTTACGAGGGGGGAAAGTAACTGTATGCAGGGGGTATTGGAGTGGAGAGAAACATTCAAAGAACTAATTGTTCAAAACTGCAACCAGACAATCTGAAAATGGAGATAAGTGCGGGAGTCTTTTATGCAATTACTTTTTAACAAGAAGGAAGATACCAGCGGAACCACCAGCAGAGGCAAGTGGTGGCTGCTCTGTTAACTCGGGGCTGGTTGCCTCCAGAGGGAGGGAGGCAGCCGAGAGGTGCAGTGGCCCTTCCCCTGCCGGGATGGAGACCTAGTCTGAGCCGTCTGCCTCGGCTTTGAGATCGGTGGACCTGTAAATACCCTGTTCTTTTCAGAGGAATGTTCCTCCCTCTTCAGACCTAATGGCACCACTTAAAAATCACTTAAAAGTTTTGAATGGAGGCTTGAAACTGCAGGTATTTGCTCTGAGCTCAGCGTGGTTTGAGGGAAGGCCTTCACTCGCTAGTGTTATAACAATTTATTAATATGGGAATAAAACCCATGCTCTTGTTTCAGGGTAGCAAACGGTATGATTTTTCTTCCCTTCCTGCACCATTGCTACTAACTTAAATCAAACTCATGAAGCTGCTCCAAATCCCATCTGAATGACCTCTTCGATTTATTGTCATTTCCTCAAAGTAACTCTTTCCTCCGGTTACCGCCTAAACTGAAACACATCTCCCTTTTCCTTCTTTCTTTGCGATGCTGGAAGAGCATCCCTGCTTTTCCATGACAATTTCTGTTAAAGCACAATGACCGGTTCAGACATGCCCCTGTTGAAAAATGCACGGTTCCTCAAAGAAGAAAATTAAAACCTACACATTGTGCAATTGAAATGAGGTCTGCAGCCGGCTCTGGAGGCACGAAGGTGTTTTCCGGAACACAACGAAGGAAAGAATGTCTGGAAAGAATTCAAATGAGCTATGCTTGTTTTCAACATCTGTCAATGTTATAAAATACATACTGCGCTGTGGGTGCTGTGTAAACGTGTGTCTCAGCTGAGGAGAAAGCCTGCAAACAGAAGGGACAGTAATTACTAACTCTGTATCATCTATACCTATTAAAAGCAAGTACAAAGAACATCCCTTCTGCCAGCTCAGATGTATGTTTCTCAGTGATATGAGATACACGGTTTAGGACTGCTCATATAGGACTGGTTTCCTTGGGCAATTTGCTGAGTTAGAGGAAAAGGTGTTTGGCTCCGATCTGAGTTCTGCTGCCCCCATTCCGGTGGGGAAACAGCAGCTGCCGTAAACCCTAATATAACTCAGCTGCAAGTGAACGGGTCAATAAAAGTTACACAGCATTGCTACTCTATAGTTGCATTTGCCAAATCAAATAAAACTTATTAGTCACATTGACTAATTTTGCATTACCTAATAGGTGCTCAATGAAATAAACGCAGTGTCTAAATAACCTGTTTATTTGGTGAGACTGATGTCCTGAATAACTTTGCCATGTGTGACATGGATCCTAAATACAACTTGTAGAGCTGAGCCCTAGATTCAGACACATTTTTCAAAAGCGTAGTGGGACTGTCCGTCACGGCAGTTTGATTTTCACATCTTTTACTTTAAAAAATTCTTTGCTACCAATGAGTTTCTGGCCTCTGACGCTATGTGAATGTTTTTGGGTTTTACTGTAAAATTAGATCGTTTATATACTAAATTTTTTTTGTTTTCCAAATTCTCAATTAAAAAAATGTTGTGAACGTTTTAGACTAATGAACTACAGTTGGGCAATAAAGTCAATGGAAATGTTTTGATCAAGCATAATAAAAATATTCAGATTTCTGATGCCTATAATACATATAGGCATCTGCAAAGAATCCAATACCCAAATAAGGGATTCTGACAGGGGCTATGAACTTAAATGCTTACATAAAATTACTGGTCACATTCAGTACCCTGCAATGACCGTCTGGGACGGTTTTTCTTTCAAAGGAAACACAAAAGTATGAAAGAAATGTAACCTGCCAGAGTCTTTTCCATTGAAGTTTTAATGTCACAAGATTTGTATTTAGGTCTGCTTTCCAGGGATTTTTAAAAAGCACTCTCACTCAATATGCACGGGAAATTCAATAACAACTGCTTTAGATATCCTTACAGTTTAGTATTACAAGAAAGTGTTGGAGGTTTTAGAAGAAAATTCTCCATGAATCTGTATATGTAAACCATATCTGCCAATAGCACTTTTACTCGTATACAAACAGTAGAACTAAAGATCAGTTTGGCATAATACAGAAGCAGTTTTTTAAGACCAAAGTCTTTATAATGCTGCATTACATTTAATTACCTTGTTTTCACAATCCCTTTTAACAAATAAAGATTCCTATATGTATTTCTGGTTACAGCTGCTTAAGGAAAAAGTAATTTTTTTTAAATGTCATTAAAAAAGTCCATCTCAGCTACAGAAACAAGGGATAACAACAATAGTAGCAGCAATGGAAAAGAATAGATTTTAAAAGACAAGGTCAAATTCTGCCATTGATTGTGGCAGGGATGGGATGGAGACAACAGAACTTTCTTCATAAAATATTCTGAATTGTTGAATTAACTTATTTTTACACAATTGGAGGAAATTAGATGTACATGTCAATTTTTGGTATAGGAAATAATACCTTAGAAGTTGTCTTCAGGAAATGTAACCCTAGACATTTCTGTAATATTTTTCAGATAAGGTGGCAAAGATCAAGAGAGAAATCAAAAAAGTTTGTACAACTACTTACTATGGGAAGCATTTGGTTATCCTCTCTTTATAACCTTTGGATTTCCGTTCGGTTAACGTCATGCTCAGTCTGAGATGGTCATTTAGAAAGCTCATTTTTATGATGTAAATTGCTCCCTTAATATCAAGTGTGGTGGATTATAATGTCCCCATTTTCCCAGTAGCATTTGACAATGTTATTAGAATTTGACAGACATGATATTCTTTCCTTGAAATAAAAAGCCCACATAGACATACCAACTTAATTTATTTAACCAGTAAAAATCTTCCCAAAACTTCTGCGAACAAATATGCAGTTAAAAATAAAAGGAAACAAACCAGATTTAAGATTTATATTTCCATACTCCATTCCAGAACAAACGTATGAAGTAATCCAACATGACTCTACACCAGTAGGAGACAAAAGCAAAAGAACTCATGGCACAGAGGAAGAAATTGTGCAGAACTGTGAATGTACGTAAAAACAATGAATCACAGCTAAGGCAAGGGCAGGAGTATGGAAAAGCCTATACTGCATGAATAGAATAGATGAATGTAATGAGAAAGTAGCTGTAGGATACTAATAAGGAGGTGGTAGAGGATTTCAAATACATTCTGAAAAAAGCAGGGTCTTATGATTAAAAAAAAGCAAATACTGCAGAAGTCACTAACAGAAGACCGAGAACTAAAATCTTTGATAGATGTGGGTTGCCTTGTAGGGAAAGAAAACAAAAGTAATTTGGTTCCTAGAAAGGAAACAATCTAAAGATGATTCTAGCACATTATTAGGACATTTTAAAATAAGAAAGTAATAGAAGAGTGTTGTGGTTTAACCTCAGTCGGCAACTGAGCACCACACAGCCGCTCGCTCACTCCCCCC